GGGGGCGATATGCTGACTCTGTAAACCGCTTAGAGAGGGCTGAAAGCCCTATGAAGCGGTATATAAGTCTAACTGCTATTGCTATTGCTAAAATGGGCAGCGTGGAGGACTCCTGGGAGGGGCAGGGTGGGTGAGGCCAGCCTGGAGTGGTATTTGGGGGTTCTCCAAACTGCACACAAACTCACCTAGAGGTTCTCCCAAACCCCTCTGAACCCCTGGCAGCCCACCCCTGGATTATGGGGTCATCAAACAAAGATGATGATTCATCCCAGTCCTGGGGCATAGCAACGACTCATCGACTCATACGTGAGATGATTCTTCTAACTTGGAATCTTGTTTAATCCCATGTTTTCAGGAACGTTCTGTTTACCGACAGCTGTCATCTCGGCCTTTGAGCAAGATGTCTTGCGCCAGTCCGAATAAACCCACCAATGAAATCACAGCGGTGCATATTGTGTCTATCCAACCTCTGGACGAGATCGGGGGTTGTCACCATCCTAACCACCACGAGATGCTGAGCCTCACTTCTGCACCGGACCCGGGAATCTTCTTCGAGGAGCCGAATTTCATGGAATGTATTCCCTTCGACGACATGCATCCCCACAGAGTATACTACAAGGGAACGCAAGTCGTCGAAATGATCGAGCTGCCGTTTTCTCCAGAGTCCAAGGAATCTGATTGTCCATTACACAAACACGCACATCAGGGAAGCGAGAATTCTGAAGAAGGTCCTGAGAAGACCACCTCCTCTCCCTCTTCCTCCGAGCCAAAAAGCGAAGAGAAGCTTGAAACAGCTAACGTTGACGCCGAGGAAAATATAGCCTCCAACGGGGACACCAATCATGCCAGTCCTTCTAAGGATCCAGAGGACGGCATTGGGATGTTGTACACCTATACAGTGGAATACCAATGGTCCCCCATGCTGAAATATTGCACCCTGGAAGAGATGGGCTACAAACCCTTGCAATTGCTGTAAGGTCAAAGCAGGAACGTCAACAAAGATGACCACAAAATCACCTACTTCAATCCTTTCATGACTACGATGCGTGTCCCTGGGACTCATCTTACAACCGCCTTTCCCAACCTCACCAACGTCCCGATGGGTGGACCTCAACTCCCAGAATCCATAGCCGCGGCCCTGTCGCCTGGAGACCCCTGGGAGTTGAGGTCCACGCGTCCACGAGGGGAAGGAGATTCCATTTCTCAACATTGTAGTGAAGTGTAACTTTTCTTAGAACCCGAGGCCATTTCTAATCAATAAACATTTGTTGTGCCTCTTGATCAGAAACGTTGGGTGTGTTCAATTAATGTGGCTCTTTGTAGCCCCGATAGTCTACTTTGATGGGACCCAAGCTTCAGTTGAAATGGAATAGAGCTTGAATATCAGTGATGGGTGTTCTGTCAATGCCTTTTGCAAAGAAGCTTTGGCCCATCAGAATGTGCCCTTCTTGGCCAAGAGGTTTCAACCCATCAGGGATCAGCAATTGGCCAGTAACCAAGATGTGATGGGGGCATAGATTGAGATCAAATCCCTGTGCGTTCTGTGTGACGCGTGAAGCTGCAACATCAGGCAATTGGGTTCCTGAATTCCAATCAGGTCACACACCCCCACACACTACGAAAATGCCCCCGTCTCTAATCCCAGGCATTGCTTTGAATGATGTCCATGCAATAAATAATTAAACAAATATATCATTGCGTATTTTATTTTTCTGATCGGGAAACAGGGGCCGATCATTCCTGGCAAAGCTCACGTCTGGCAACTGACTCTACAAACGTCCAACTCTCTGTCTCAACTCTGGATTTTGATCCTCCCAGTCTCATGCACCTGAGACATAAATATATATACACCTGTTAATTCTACACTGCATAATAACACAGTCTTAAAACGACTTAAGTGGTGCTTTTTGACCTATTTTTAAAGGCGGGGAAATGGAAGCAGTCCAGATGGAACATCTAAGTAGGGTGATTAGACGAGGGGAGCCGGCCTTCCCAGATTTTGAAGCAGCCTTGGAGGCTCCTATGCCTGCAGGAGTCTTCATCCTTATTATTAGCTCCGAGTACCTGTAGATCCAGGTAGAAAAACTGGTCTCATTTGATGGGAAACGCTGAAGCCTCTGCTCGAACGAAAACTGCAGCTGTCATTTCAGGGGTGTAAGACCTAAATGCCTGGTTTCTTAGCCCTAAGCTGTTCGAGTAACCCAAGAGGCCAGGGAACCAGGAGGAGGTCAGGGTCACGAGACTCCTTAGCAATAGCAGTTAGACTTATATACCGCTTCGTAGGGCTTTCAGCCCTCTCTAAGCGGTTTACAGAGTCAGCATATCGCCCCCCACAGTCTGGG